TCATCATCATCACTATCATCATCTTCATCATCATCAGTGTGAACACGAACAGGAGGAAGAGAGCCAGTATATTGGATCAGTGCATGTGCTCTTAAAGTGACAGTAGCCTAATAAACATGCTGTTATTAACGTTCGTCACATGACAAAACACAAAGAGAAAATCACTCACATAAGGCTCAATGTATTTTTAATTCATACAGAAAATGCTGTATTATCACAATTGATTATTCAATTCAGTATTTCCTGAATACAACTGTTAAATATAGAATATCTAATCTAAAGCATCATTTCATTTGTATTTTTGTTATATTTTATTTGTCATATCGTTTGTTATTTCTCTTTGTTCAGATTTTTATGGGGCCTTGTTAACGCAACCGAATAAAAAATAAAAACTTTTTCCCCCCACTATTCTGACTTCTGAGATATGATGTCAGAAGCGGAGATTAAAGGTAATAATTACCTTTTATATTCCATGGTGGTTTTATATATATAGGGGTCAGGCATTCTATTGTAAAATATCTATATTTATATTTTAAGATTTTTCAAATTATTCTTTATTTCAAACAGTCATGCTTGCAATAAAAATATTGTTATTAGCATTACAAAATTGAGAGTATTACCCTTCAATATGAATTAATAACTGTAGGCCTACATGAATAATTCCTGAGTCAAGGTGAGAGATTAGAGGAGTAGGAGAGACTTCTCTTTAGTCTCCAGAGGGCAGGAGCTGTTCAAAGCTTTTATCCTGGTTTGAGTCTCCCTCTCTCTCTCTCTCTCTCTCTCTCTCTCTCTCTCTCTCTCTCTCTCCTCTCTCTCTCTCTCTCTCTCTCTCTCTCCTCTCTCTCTCTCTCTCTCTCTCTCTCTCTCTCTCTCTCTCTCTCTCTCTCTCTCTCTCTCTCTCTCTCTCTCTCTCTCTCTCTCTCTCTCTCTCTCTCTCTCTCTCTCTCTCTCTCTCTCTCTCTCTCTCTCTCTCTCTCTCTCAGGGATTGGATATGTGTGTATTAACTCCAGTTTGCGCAGTCGAGCCTCAGAGGGCACAGCCAAATAAAGACATTCATTAACAGCCCGCTTTGCTAATCTTATTCTTTCTAATATGATGTATTATTGTAATTCCATCGCACCTCTCCGGGGAGTTTCTGTTCAGAAACGCTCTTTATTCTCCTTCTGCAAACTCAGGGAATGCTGAACATCGGCACAGCACTGATAAAGGACACAGAGGGAGTGTGTGCATGTAATCCAATAAAGAGGCTTTCTTTCGTCTTCATCTTTAACTCACATTTATTCAGAAATAAACAAAAAGAGCTGCAACGTTAACTGTTTATTACTGGCGTTCTGTTACTATCAATGAGATACGACTTTTTAATGAAATGGAGATCATTTGTTTGCAGAGAAAACAAACAAATCCCATTTTCCAATTAAACTCGCTAAGATAGAGTGAATTTTAGTGCAAAACCTCCAGAATGATTTGAAGTGGAACACTGAAACACTGAATCATCGGAATACCGGAACACAGAAAAAAACACCGGAACACTGAAACATCAAAACAGCGAAACACCGGAACACCAAAACACCAGAACACTGGAATACCGGAACAAAAGAACACCGGAACACTGAAAAACACCGGAACACTGAAACATCAAAACACTGAAACACTGGAACACCAAAACACCGGAACACCAAAACACCGGAACACCAAAACACCGGAACACTGGAATACCGGAACAAAAGAACACAGAAAAAAACACCGGAACACTGAAACATCAAAACACTGGAACACCGGAACAATGAAAAACACCGGAACTCTGAAACATCAAAACACTGAAACACCAAAACACCAGAACACTGGAATACCGGAACAAAAGAACACAGAAAAAAACACCGGAACACTGAAACATCAAAACACTGGAACACTGGAACACCAAAACACCGGAACACCAAAACACCGGAACACTGGAATACCGGAACAAAAGAACACAGAAAAAAACACCGGAACACTGAAACATCAAAACACTGGAACACCGGAACACTGAAACATCAAAACACTGAAACACCGGAACACTGAAACATCAAAACACTGAAACACCGGAACACCAAAACACCGGAACACTGGAATACCGGAACAAAAGAACACAGAAAAAAACACCGGAACACTGAAACATCAAAACACTGGAACACCGGAACACTGAAAAACACCGGAACTCTGAAACATCAAAACACTGAAACACCGGAACACCAAAACACTGGAACACCAAAACACTGGAACACCAAAACACCGGAACACCAAAACAATGATTTATGGGTGCACATCATTATTGTGTTAATAATCTTGAATCAGAATAACAGCAGCATCTCTTCTCTGATGATGAGGGCGGGGCTATAACCTGTCACTCACACCAGATCAGCCAATAGCAAACCACAACCATCCAATCAACTCCCCACAGACCCAATCAAGCCCCGCCCACATGTGTTCATGTTCCAGAAGCGTTTCACTCGATATACGACACGATAGAGGAGAAGAGACCAGCACAACTTCACTCCGAGTAACAAAGTAAACATTTTCAGTCAAATTCCAGCATTTCTTACTTCAAAGTTTCCTTTCCTTCTCCCTTTAATTTTCTCTCTTTACTGAGATGGAGGAGGAACAGAGAATATAAAGAAGAATATGAAGGAAGCAGCAGACAGGAAGTCAGCTCAGGTTCAGGCAGGAAGTAGTTCCTCTGGGAGCTCCTATCTCAGTCTATGCAGACACCGGGACTAATTACCAGTGTTAATTAGCAAACGCAGCATAACCCATCCCATAATACCATAACATGGTGCGTCCAGCAAACATGACCTTTCACCTCTGCATGACAAGCCGTGACCTTTCACCTTTGGTTACTGTGGGGCTGTTTAGCGTCAAGGTTGTGAGCGATTGGTTCGGGATTAAAGGACTGTTGTTCGTTGAACACAAGTACAGCTCTATCAGGGATTTGTGGAATAATGTCACACACACACATTTATTGTAAAACTACATTTAATATACGGTTCGATCTATCACAGTTATTCACCGTATATAGTATGAAAACTTTCTGTTAACCAATTAACATTTTGTTCACTGTTAAATCACTTTTCTCAGATCAGAGAACATTCAGTAACGCTTTAGATTACAGCGCTCTAAAGTACTGCGTAATTAAAGCGATTTTACAGCGTAACCTTTAGGAATTATAGTGTACTGATAACGTACTTACAATATAAGTATAAGAGAACAATATTTTACGTTTGGGGAATAAAGGGGTAACATATAAATATATTTATATTATAGAACTAATGGGTTCTTCTTATTCTACTATTATGATACAACAATCTTACATAAATGTATAGATATGTACCCTGTCATTTTTAAAAAGCCTGTACAGTGTGTATTATTTCAAAAAGCTACGCAGTGTATGTTCTCGCTACATTGCTCCCAAGTGTAAGATTGTTGTATCTGAATAGTAGAATAGGTTCTATAATACTTACATTATAAATATATATTTTTAATTGTCCTGGTTGTTACCCCTTTATTCCCCAAACTTTACATATTGTTCCTTTATACTTACAGCTACACTATAATTACAGAAATTTACACTGTTAACTCCTCTTAATTACACGGTACTTTCCAGGCTTCATGTTCCTATAATACTTGCAAAATGATAAAATAGAGAATACGTTCCCCTAATATTTTCACCAAAATAGTTTAAACACATTAGAACGTTTTTTTTTTTGTTTTTTTTTTTTAATAAAAAGGTTCAGATTTTTTATTATTATTATTTTTTTTTCATAATTGATTGGGAACATTAGTAAGTGTTCCGAGAGTATATTGTCGGCTGGTTTGTTCATGTGATCTTTCAGGGGCATAAGATGCTCCAGCAGCACTAAACATAACATTTTTGCACTTTTTTGAGACAATTATAATTACTATAATATTATATATAGAGATATTATAATTACTTATCAGCAATGAAATTTCGCTTGCGCAAGTGTTTATTTCATCAGATTGTTTTAGTGTTTATTTTCAACATTTTTCGCATTTTGTGGAAAGATAGCATTATTGCAAACAGAGAGGCCTTAAAACCTGCTTCATTACTTCTGCCATGACAACCCTGTGTGTGTGTGTGTGTGTGTGTGTGTGTGTGTGTGTGTGTGTGTGTGTGTGTTCCAGATGAAGGAAGCACGTGTGACTCATCTTCTCCAGCTGAAGCGAGGGAATGGAGCTGGGAGTCGATCCGACAGGACAGGACTCCTCTTCACTGCTCTCTGGCCTCATGTTCACAGGTGGAGCTGATCGTGGGAAACGTGAGTGCGTGAGCCACTTTCACTGTAACACACGAGTGAGTGCAGGAACTCTTCCTCATGAGAGTATAACACACTCATCATCTTCATTAGCCTAATATGCTTTATCAGCTGATGAACTGCCTGTGTGATTATAATACAGCGTTTGACAACAAGGAAGTAGATGAACCACAGGAAGCTGACAGCCAGAAACAGGAAGTGACAAATCTAGGGAAGCAGGAAAATGATCCAGCTGCTTCAGAAAGGTCAAAAGGCAAAGGCCAAACCGAGAGGTCAAATCAACAGTTCATCATAAAACTGTGTGTGTTTGTGTGTGTGAGAGTGAGTGAGTGTGTGTGTGTGTATGTGTGTGTGTGTGTGTGTGTGTGTGTGTGAGGAACAGAAACACAGTGTCTCTCTCGATTGGCCCAGCAGAGCAGAAGCCGAGGGTTTATTCGCTGAAGACGGAAGAGATGTGTTACAAAATACACGAACATAACTCTGTCATGCATGAACATCAGTTCTGAGAAAACTAAAGATAGTAATCAGAAAAGTTCAGTTTAGAAGCAGGTTAAAGTGTTATGAATATGAGTATATTGTGACGAGGTTTGTTTGCAGCTCTGTGGTGTTGATGATGGGAAAGTGTGTGTGTGAGTTCAGCGAGCGGCCAGCAGGGGGAGCGGCCAGAGGAGTTACACATGAGTCACATCTGGCTGCACTTCTTACTGTAATTATAGATTTAAACACGGAGTAATATTACAGTAACTAACAGTGTTTAGGGTTAGGGTTTGATTTAGTTTCACATAATTATGCATAATTTACTGTTATTACTACTGTAAGTACATGTAACGTGTAACAAGGACACTGTAAAATAAAGCATTTCCCTTATCATCTGTCAATCATCACTGCGGGGCGGAGTCATTATCTGTGAATCATCACTGCAGGCGGAGTCATCATCTGTCAATCATCACTGCGGGGCGGAGTCATTATCTGTCAATCATCACTGCAGGCGGAGTCATCATCTGTCAGTGTGTGTGTGTGTGTGTGTGTGTGTGACTTCCATCACTGCAGTTGTGTGTTTGAGCGCACTAATCGAGCTCCTCTTCTCTGACCACATTATTCCTGCGCTTTGTTCTCGCTGCTTTCGGTTCCTCATCAGGACTAGAGAGAGAGAGAGACACGTTCCTTTGTTCAGAACACAGACACCGATCCGCCAAACCTCAAGCAAAATAAATCTACATTTTAAATCTCAATCAAATATATTTAGCTTAATTCTTCACATAAGCAAAATTCTGTTTTTAATCTTAAATACATTTTGGTAAATCCAAATAATCCAGTTCAGCCACTCGACTGACTCTGCGTGTCATCAGAGTACCAGTGGACCGTCCGGAGTGGAGTAAGTTGGCCTGTCGTTGTAAAGTTTATTACAGTCAGTAGAATATCAGTCGAGGAGCTTCAGAATAAAGAGTTATCAGAGATTAACATCAGTCTACTAATAATGACATGGAGTTGCAGATCTGACCCGTTGCATGTGTGTGTCTGTGTGAGCTGGTCTACTGAAAACTGCAGGATTTTCCCCATCACTGACAAACGTATAAGAACATTTCCCTTATACTTTCCATTTTGGTTATGAAAACATATTTCTGAATGTTCAAAAATTCTCGCTTACGTGAACCATAAACGAATGAACAATGTGTTTGTGCTAATGTTTTGAGAACTCTATTAAAGACCAGATAACTGTGCATGAATGTTCTGTTAATGTTTGTTGATGACGTGGAGAGAACGTTCCCCGTAATCTGGAACAGCTCGTGTTTCTGCGCGCTGACACAGACTCGGGTCAGAGGAAGTTTGGCAGAGGCATTCGCAACTCTCTGGGTGGAAAGAAAATAATAAAAGAGGAAACATTCAAACAAAGCAGTTGTTATTCCTGCCAGTCATCATGAGACCGCAGAGACGTGACGCACTGAAGAGCGCTGACCCAGTGCAGGAGACGGGGACGGCCTAATGGACTTCTTGTGACTAAACCTCCTCCTGCTTCTTAGTAGTGAGGGAGTGACAGAGACGGACTGGACTGAGTCTCACCAAAACACACACACAACAGCCCAGACGCTTCTCACACTGAATAACCTCAGCATGCAAGGTCAAAGGTCACTGTAATAAAGGTGTCACGGGTTCAGCAGGCAAGAACAGATGAAAGACGGAAGCGTGTTGCAGAATGGGAACGTTTTGAACGCAGAGCAGAACCAGAACACATGATCACATCACACCAGTCCTCGGGTCTTCACATTTAGGGTTGAGATTAACTGCATAAAAATGTATACTTTATTTAACATATTTAGTTATTGGGGGTTTGCATTGTGTTCTGATTCTGCATTTCACGTATTTTATTCATTTTGAGGAAGATTTAATCTTTTTTTTGTGTGCAAGTGAGATAAATGTTCACATTTAGTCTAGAACTACAATAACCATCATGTCTACACACACACACACACACACACACACACACACACTGGGGATGTTTTTCTATCATTACAGGCAATAATTACACTCATTAGCACCAATTGCATGATCTATCGGAACACACTCACACACACACACACACATCTATTCATAAACATGCCATATTTCACATTATCACACTTATTTCACATTATCACACTTTCACATTTAGTCTAGAACTACAATAACCATCATGTCTACACACACACACACACACACACACACTTTAGGAATGTTTTTCTATCATTAGGGGCAGAAATTACTCTCATTAGCACAATCTCATGGTCCATCAGAACACACAGATCTCTCTCTCACACACACACACTCACACACACACTATGTCTATTCATAAACATGCCATATTTGACATTATCACTCTGTTTCACATACACACTTCAGTGATGCCGTTCTGTAAACATCCTGAGCGTATGAACATATTTCTCATACCCGAGGCGTAACTCACACAGGATCTGCAAGAACACGTTTCACAGCGCGCTAGCAAAACTGTCTCATGCATTTTTTAAATCTGGAATATTATAATAAACATTAGACTATATATTCTCCTGCATGAGAGAACACACTGATGATGTTAACAGGAAACTCCAAAGCTAATTATGAGAATAGATCGAGAGATACGGAGCGAGAGGTGAGATCTACACACACACACACACACACACAGAAACCTCATCATTCTCTCTCTCTGATTCCTAGTCTCGCTCCAGCTCAGATCAGGAGGAAGTGATGCGATCATGACTTCCTGTTTTACTTCTTATTAGACGAGTGCTTCACTACAGTACACACATCCCTTTACGTTTGTGTATTACAGCTGCGTTCTCTCTTTCATTCTTCTTTTAAATGTTATTATTATTTTAGAATCAGACACATTATTAGTGAAGGTACTGTATTACAGAATAAATTACACTGTATATTAACGCTGTAATAATATTTCACTGTTTTAACTGTATTTTTGATGGAGTAAATGCAGCCTTGGATGAGCGCCTATATGCATGTATGTCATTTACATGGTCAATATATTAATTTTTATTTTATTTTTATTCGTGAATCACAAATCATATCCCCTAAGCTGTGAGTGTGTGAAACAGTAAAATGTAGATTCTCTTAATATTTATAAAAGCTCTCATTGACTTCTCATGTCAGTGTGTGTGTGTGTGTCCAGTCGGGCTGAAAGGTTGGAGCTCCTGAGCTGTGATAGGTGAGGAGAAACGTGTGTATCTGCTCCAGGAATTTAAAGGTACAATAAAGAGAAGAGGAAGAAGTGCAGGGAAATCCTGGGAATGTGAGAGTCCTGCAATAAAGCTTTACAACTCTGTGTTTGTCAGCAAACACACACACACACACACACACACACACACTGGAGTGCGTGGCTCCTCCCTCACACACAGCAGGTTTGGGCTGTTAATGTAAACATCATAAAAGTCACATTTGAGTGTTCGTGGCAGAAGATCCAGCAGCCGTTCCTCACACACACACACACACACACACACACACACACACACACACACACACACACACACACACACACACACACACACACACACACACACACACACACACACACACACACACACACACACACACACTGGGGCGAGGACTCAATCACATGATCATTCATCTCAATTTAAAATATGTGATCATGTCATTCATCTTACATCATTTTGGTATTTTGGGGCATAAATTGTAAAAATGATTCTGACATCATCATGAATGAACTTTTAGAAAAGAAATCAATGTGAAGTTTTGAGTCTGTAAGATATTTAGTGTTTCTGAAAGAGTCTCTTCCGACTGCGTTATTAATATTTGCATGAAGGACGGTCCCTCGGACCTTCATGATCATGTGCACTGAATGATGATGATGATGAAGATGAAGATGATGCAGTATAAACGTTACAATGGGACACACACACACACACACACACACACTTTTACACTAATCGCTATAAAACACTTTAATGGGAGAAATGACGATATGGAAAACCTCTCGAAAGATGCGTTTAATCATGGCAGAGGCGTGTGAATCTCTCTCTCTCTCTCTCTCTCTCTCTCTCTCTCTCATTACTGCATGTTAGAATGCTGTTCCACTGTAATTAGCATCTTAGTCACTGCGACACTATTTTAGTCTCCATCCCCCGCTCTCTCTCTCTCTCTCTCTCTCTCTCTCTCTCTCCTGCTGTCCTTCATTCCTGAGCGATACTTTCTGTCCATCTTTTCACAGCATGATGATGTCATATTTGCTCTTCTTCCTGTGTTGATCTCTCTTCCTTCCTCACCACAGCCTTTCTCAGGAGTTAGGAATACTCATTTACAATATTTCGTTATGAGGCTGACAGAGGCTACTCCTCACTTCAGCACAATATACTTTAACTATCATACTTAAGTGTGCAATGACTTCAATATCAAACACTAATTGCATGTTAATTGCAATCAAATGAAAATTTATCCTAGTTTAAATTAATATTGAATACATTTAAAATAAAACTAAAGTAAAACTTTTAATTTGACATGATTACAAATTGCACTTAAGTGCATTTAAATGTTTTAAGCGAGAGTGTTACAGCAGATACAGCAGAAAGAAGTGCACTTGCAGCACACGTCTGGCCATTTCCCCAAGCAGAATAACCCGTGTGATGGCCAACCACTGATAGCTGGGACGTATTTACTTCTTTGACAAGCTATCCAACGCAAACAAACTTGAATTGTACCTTTTTTGATGGATGAGATGGACTTCCAGCAGTAGGTGAGTAGGATAAGCTGAGCAAGGCAGGCGTGGGCAGTTTTGTAGGTTAGTATCTGACAAAGGATGGATTCCAGTAATCCAACAAACGATTGGTAGTTGATTGAAGAAAGGTGGTTAAGGGCACAACTTAAATGTCAAAACTAATGTCCAAGTAGTGTTCAATGGGCTATATGCACAGCTGCACTACTTCCTGAACTTCAGCCTTGTTTCCTGTCTGCCATTACTGGCCAAATTGATTAATTCAGGTGTGCTTGTCCTCAGTAGTCAATGCAACAATAATCAAACACACCTGTATTAATCAAGTTTGGCCAATAATGGCAGGCAGGAAACAAGGAGCTGGCTGAAGATCAGGAAGTAGTGCAGCTGGGCATAAAGCCTATTGTGATTCAATAGAGTTTCTATAGCAAATTTGTACTGTATGCTTGTACATTCCAACAGCTTCCTTGTTCTTTTTTTCTTTTTTTTTCTTTTTTTTGTTAAATTGGTTTCTATTCAGACATCAAATAGCCTTGAAATAATTACAGGTTTCAGGATAGATTTTTTTAAATGCAGGAAGAAGAAAAAAAACTAAAAAACTTACTATAACCAACACCTGTTAATAATCCAGTGCCATTAATACACTGCTCTTAAGTCAGCCTGCAATACAATGCATTAAAGAATAACATTTCTATTGAGGTAACAGATGTGAAATTGTCCCATGTTGCCTTTCAAAAGGAATATAGTTCATTCCAGGTGTAGAGTAGACATCAGTTCCTCAAGCCATAGTTTAGCATCAGGAGGGTAAACCTTTTTCCAAAACAGTAGTAACAGTTTCTTGGCTGTTATCAGACAGTATGTAAGAAATTTCTGTTGGGAACTGTTCAACAAATATATATATATGGTTAGAATGTCCATATATTATTATATT